ACTTTTGCTGCATCCCTATTCAAGGTAGTGGAACATTTGCTGTTGATGCGTCTTTCCAAACTGTTCTGCCCAGACAAGGAGCCAAGGTAAAGAAGAATTAGAAGTCAAAAGTCTGATGTAGTTTATCAAATTCACTTCATAGTATTATTAATAAATGGGTTATTTTGTGTCTACTCAAAGACAAGCCTTATTATTATTTTGTGTCTATATGGATGTGCTTGTCATATTCCAGGCTTTAATTATTGAAAATGGAGCTTATGGTAAAAGAATGTCGAAGATTTGTGCTGCTGCTGGTATAAGTTGTGATGTTCAGAGCTTTAGAGAAGATAGACAAGTGGAGCCAGAAGTTGTAGAGGATGCTTTGAGTGGACGAACCATGTATGACCTTGTGGCCATTGTTCACAGTGAGACAAGCTCTGGTGTCTTCAATCCCATTGCAGAAGTAGGAAATATTGTTAAAAGCTTGTCACCAGGTTAGTTTTAGTATATGTATCACTTGTTGCTTATCCATCATGACTGTTAAAATGACTAGTTTTTTATAATTATTTCATTATAGTAGTATTTTGTAAATCCAAACTAGGCTTAACTTAAACACTTTTCTAAATGATACTCATGGCTTGATATTCCTGTAGGTGAAATAAATGTAATTGCATTTTATAATGCTATTTCAAGTTGTAAAAGTACTGTAATATAATTTTATTTAAAGCTTTAAAGTTAACAAATAATAGAAAAACTGCTAGCAGTATAATTATTTCTATTTTTAACTTGTATCTCTTCCCAGAGTCCATCTACTTAGTTGATGCTGTGAGCAGTTTTGGTGCAGTTCCAATAAACTTTGAAGAAAGTTGTATAGATGTATTGATCAGTTCAGCTAACAAATGTCTTCAGGGAGTCCCTGGTTTTGCTTTTGTTTTAGCAAGAAATAGTGTAATGGGCAACTGCAAAGGTAAATTTGAAAACTTCCATAGTTAATTTGTCTATTTTCTATTTTTTTTTATACACACACACATACATATATATGTACACTAGCAAACTGTAATGATTCATGTATTTATACCCCAAGATGTAAGCATTCTTTTTTTTTTTTCTCTCAGGAAATTCTAGAAGTTTAGCTCTTGACCTTTATGATCAAGTGAAGCAACTGGACCAGACCAATCAGTTTAGGTTCACTCCTGCTACACATTCAATGCTTGCCTTTAAACAAGCTTTAATTGAATTTGAACAAGAGGGTGGAGTTGAAGGAAGAGCTAAAAGGTAAAAGGTTTCTTCTGTTTTTAACTTTTGGCAACATTTTTTAACTCTTACAAAAATTATTTTTTTATCTGAGATCTGAAGCAACATTTTTTATTTCTGTTATGTAGCCAAATCAAAGCTACTTTTTGTCTAATTAGGGATGAATAGATTCAGGAATGTTATAAAACAATTTCTACTGCAACTTCAGCTTGAGATTAAAGTTAGCATCCAAGCCATCTACACATTTTACTTCTATAAATGTATGTGCTAGATATTTAATCTGTAGTAATTTCAGAATGCATACTTCATCCCAGTCTAAGCACTATAAAAGCTTTTATTTTGTATATTGCACATATATCCAAAAAACTTGAAGTCTAGTAAGTTTGATTTGATGGTATTTGGTATCATTAGTTAAATCATCATTGCATTGTACTTAAATGTTGAATAGACATAGATGGTTTAGAGTTGTAGTTTTAACATGTTATTATCAGATTAACAGCTTAATTTTTACTTTGCACTTGCTAGAAGTTTAACATATGCATTTTTTGGATTTTTTTTTTTTTTTTACAAAGCTTATATCAACTCACTTTGTCTCATATAAAGTTTGTACATGTTATTTCTCCCACACCCAATTTTGGATCAGTTTGAAATTTCTCACAATTATTTCTTTTACCTAACAAAACAAAAATCAATATAAAAAAACAACAATTATTTGATTAACTATTGGTAATTAATTATTTTGTTTATCAAACAAGGGAAAGAAATCATACGTGACAGATGTGGTATAAGTTGAATTAGTCCACTTAGGAGGCCTGAGCCCTGAGTGAACTTTTTTTATGCATTTAAAAAGCAATCACGGTACCATTCACACAGATATACACTTCATTCCCTCCTCCTTTTCCCAACTGTTCCAGACAAGTGATAGGATCATAGCGCATTGAGAAAGCTAAAAGCATGAAATCGCACTAAACATAAACAATTGGTAAAAATATTTCTTATCACACTGATTTTATTGTTGTTAGTCTAGATCTATTACAAATTTAATTACATGACTTATCCAAACTGATATAATTACACTTTTTTTTTGTTGGTTACTCTTGTATAGAGCATCTGTCATGCTATAGCACACTTAGTGCGCTATGGTCGAATCTCTTCTGTGTAGCTGTGGTGTGAGAGAGTATCTGGTAGGTTTCCTTGCTGCCTTTAGGCATTCAGCAAACAACTCAGCTCAAGTCTACCTTGATAGGTAGCTAAGTTATAGTTGTACTTTGCAATTAGAATGCAATATTATAATCAATGAGATGCCATTTATGATACTGTCAAAACCATGAAGCAGAGGCCCCAATAGCCCATAATAATCATGTAAAATGATCTATTACAACTTAGACTTTTAGGATGGAAATAAAAAGCTTATCTTATCTTATGTAATACAGACATAACTTCAAGAAAGATGATTACGTCCTACGCGTCATGCATTAAGTCATGCATATTAACCAATGACTTAAATTCTGCCAAGTCACTGGTTTTTCTGGCTAGCTCAGGCAACCTATTCCATGCTCTAATAGCACTAGGGAAGAAGTATTTGTACAAATTTGTCCTAGCATATGGGACAAGGAATGTGCCTTTATTTTTGTGTATTACAGAGTATTTTATTAAATTTTGTTTTTGTATTTGAAGATTATGGTTCAGTGTTTTATGTATAATTGCTACTTTACTTTTGAGTCTTCTGTCCTGAAGGCTTTCTAAATTTAGTGATTTTACTAATGGTGTTACTCTAGTCAAATGTGAATATTCGTTTATGAATCTCACTGCTCTATTTTGTGTTTGTTCCAGTTTCTTAATGTTTTCTTGAGTTGAGGGGTCCCAAATGGAGGATGCATATTCTATTTTTGGCCTAACCAAGGTTAAATATTTTAGTTTTATGTTCTTATTTGATTTATAGAAATTTCTTTTAATAAACCCTAATGCTTTGTTTGATTTTTTTATAGTTTCATCAATATGTGGATTCCATGACAGTTTTTCATTTATTATAACACCTAGGTATTTTGTGTTTTTAGTCTGTGTTACTGGTTTGCCATGAATAAGATAAGTGGAATTAATTTGTTTTAGTTTTTTTGTTACTCTTAACAACTGACATTTTTCTGGGTGGAAAGACATGCTCCAATTTGATTCCCATTTCTGTAATTCATCTAATTCTCTTTGTAAAATATCTGTCTTGTGTTGTTTTTATTGTTCTATATATTATGCAATCGTCTGCATATAATCTGACTTTTGTTCCTGAAGTAATGCAATTTGGTAAATCATTTATGTAAATTAAAAATAGTAGTGGACCCAAGACTGTTCCTTGAGGTGCACCTCAGTTTACTGCTATCGGTGTTGATTTAGAGCCATTTATTATCACAGTTTGTTCTCTCCCTATCAGAAAATCTTTAATCCACTGATGCAGTGGACCATTAATGCCGAAATATTTTAATTTTTTAAGCAAACTATGGTGGTGAACTTTGTCAAAAGCCTTGGAAAAATCTAGTAAGATAGCATCTATTTGTTCACTATTATCTAAGCCTTTTGAAAAATCATAGCCTGTTAGATCTGCTTCAGTTTTTAATTTGTAGCAATTATTTCCTTTGCTAATGTTATTTTTTGTTTGTTGTTGCTTTACTTGACAGATATAAAAACAACAGGGCAGTATTACAAAAAGGAATGAATGAGCTTGGTTTCAAGGAACTTCTGGATGAGAAAGTTGCAGGATACATTATCACATCCTATCTATATCCCAAGGATCCAAATTTCAATTTCAACACATTTTATAACAAGCTCAATGATAAAGGTGATTTACTTTATTCTCTTTGACTGCAGGGTAAAAAAAAACAATTTGACCTTCATTTTCATAGAAATAATTTCAGCCATGTATTACTACAACAAAGAAATCCTCAAGGGTTTGTGAGGTGATATACTGAGAAATGACTAATACATAAAAGAAGAAAATAGGAGAGGAACGTTTGATTTGGGAATTTTTCTGCCCACATAATTTACCAAATGTATTTTTATTTTTATAGATCTGGTTATTTACCCTGGAAAAGTCTTAGACACAGACTGTTTCAGGATCGGCACCATTGGAGATCTGCATGCAGAGGACATGACAACTTTGGTCAAAGCAATCAGGGAAGTGTGTCATGACATGAAGATCAGTATACCCATCAAATATTAACATCATTTAACTTTGCTCAATCTTGATCCAAATAAATAGATAAAATAACTTTGAAATCCAGTCGCTGTGCTACAATAAGTTATTCTCTAGAAATGACCTTGACATTTCAAACTGTAAAACATTTCTTCATTAAGATTTTTTTCCTAAGTGTAGTCAATATTTATGTTTGTAAAAGGATGGGAACAGTTTTCTTATGTATATTTGTCAATCAAAGTGTTCTTTTATTATTGTCAGGTATGTCTAAGTCATCATGCGAACTGTCATTTTTGATTTTCCACATATGAAAATTTGCTTCAATCATTTTGTTATCTGTTCCAAGAATTTTTTGATGTTTTTCATTTTAATTGATATGTAGATTTGTACCAGTGTACTATAATTTACATTTGTCTGTATTTTGTATGATTTAATCAAGTGAAAAAGGAAACTAAAATTTATTTGCATCATTTTGTTACTAAGATCTGCTGCATTTAGTCATTTCTGTGTAGTCCCTTGGTAATATTTTATTACTTAAGAATTTTTCATTTGTAATTTTGTTGTCATCAGTGTGTATTCAATGAGGGGTTGAAGACTTTGTGAAATGAAACCAAGATTCCATTACATTTAATGGTCTTTATACAATATCCTATGTGGGCAACTGGTTACACCTTTTTATGATGGCAAAGTCTAAAGTCAGCATTCACATATTTGTTGTATATTTTATAACATTTAATTGTATGCTTTATACATACTGTAGGCTTGAAGCTTCATCTGATTATAGCTGTCTAGTGGAGTTTATTTGGACTGTACTTACAACTAAACTACTTGAGGGCTGTGTCCTCCCTTTCATTAACTGTTTAAAGCTGAGTGTCCTCCCTTTCATTAACTGTTTTGACATTTCTTGAGTTTGGAATGCTTTTACTAGCTACTTTCATCGCTCTAACTTACTGATTTAATGAAAAAGTATGTTAAATTAATATAAAGATTGATATAGATAAGTCTTCATGATTTGAATTCTAATGAAAAAGTGTTAAAAAAAATCTGTTTTACAAGATAAAGGTCATGTGTGTTGTCTGTGAGGGGACATTGTTAGCAACAAAACAATTCTTAGACCTTTATAGAGTTTACTTGATTTCTATTCATTTACTTTCAAGTGTAATTAGAAAAATGCTATCTATTTTCACACTGGTGACCAGTATTATATTGCATTTTTGGTATCATGTTCTTTATTTATATCAAACTATGAAGATTGTTTTTTCCATTCATGTATAAAGGTAAAATCATATCTGCATATGAGGGTAAATACATAATTTATTAATGCTCTGAGTTTTGTTCATTGCATTTTTATATTAGTATTGCCCATTTAGTGGCTATTTCCCATTTTAATATGAACATTCTGAGAGGACACTCTTTACATTTGCAAACATGTTGGAGTGTAATGTAAAACTTGTCTAGTTCATTGAAGTATGTCAGCTAGGGATTGGAGAGACAACCTTTAAATAAACAAAAACCTCACAAATTTTATTGTATGCTGAAAGAGAGCTATCCCAATAAAAAAAAAGTTTGAAAACCAGTCGGCATAAAGTATTGACATAAAACCCATTTTAAACTAGAGATTTAAAAAATAATGGTTCTGATAGGTGTCCCATTTTGATGATTATGGCATCCTGTCCTGGGACTACCTCCATTAAGGAGACTGGATTTTACTCAGCCTATGAGACATACGTTTACTCATTTAAAAGCCTATAGTGGAATGCATCAGAAATATTCTTTAAAATATTATTTTATGAAAAGGAAGTCGCATTACCACTTATACATCAGAGGCTACATCTGTAATCACACAAGAACGGGGGCATCCTTACTCTTATAAAGATCGACACGCCCAACATTGACAAATTCACGACTCAGTGAAAAACTAAGTACAAAACTCATTGTACAGGACGTTGAAATCTTTTTGACTGTTACGTGCTTGAGTACAAGTTAACAAGAAATCATTTGATCATCGGTGTTAACGGTATGAATAGTCTTGTCAAGATCGCGATGCTAGAGAAAAAAACTTAAATCTCAAGTCGAAAACATCCTTTTTGAAAATTGCCCCTTCTGGAGTGTCACCGGAGAATGCCGACCATGTCCTTCAAAACTGCATTCTCCAGCAAGAGGCCCTAACAAGACACTGGTCCCTTAACATCCCTATAGAAGGAAAACTATACGGAGAACTGCCTGATCTGGAAACCATTGTGCAGATAGCCTACTGGTCTAGTCATCTGCACCTCAGTTCATTTGGGATATTGTAACATCTAACTACCAATAATCACAAGCCTTTAATTATTCATTTATATTTCTCATGAACACGAGACAACATAGTTCCGAGATGGAATACATACAGAGGCAGCGAAGCTCAAAATGCACATACCTTTACAATCTCCCTGTAATCTAAGCCCGCTAAACAAGTCAGATTCATGCCATCCTCAACAATCAAAGCATAAGATGCGGAGCAAAGAAAGAATATATTCCCATTGGGTCTAATTACCTAAAACAACTTCACCATGCTCTCGTTGAAGCTAGAAACACCAGGAAGTGATCATTGTAATGAAAATATCAACCTAAAAGGAGAAACATGGGACACAATCTATGTCGTATTCCATAAAGCATACATTTTGAAAGTAGTTCATCTCATATAGTTACAGAAACTGACGACAAATTCCTTTAGATACTAAACGAATTCATTAAGTATTTTTAAACTGTAAGACATTGAAACAAAAAAAGTTAAGCAAAAAAAAAATACATCTTTGTCTAAAAAAAATGATAGAACTTGATTACAAACTATAAATCCTCCTATCAAAACAGGTCCCAGGTGTAGATAATAACATACATTTTTAATTGGGCTCGAAGACAGTTAAAACTTTAGTGCAAGTGGAAATCCGAAACATCAGAAAGATCAGTGTATCAATGTTACATTCAATCCAAACTTGATGTTACATTCAATCCAAACTTGTACCAAGCATGTATATATGTATTACTTAAACTAATTGTAGTAAACAAGCATGGTTCTTGTCTGCGCTATATGTGTGCTGACAATAGATTTTAATAAGTAAACTAGCTGTCTATCCACTGGTATGTGCTGGTTGATCACTTTTAGATTGAGGCCTTGATTCGAGAATTTATTTTCTTCCAAGTCTACTCATTCCTTGTTGATTTGTCTGTGTACGTGTTCTCTGTCTCTGATATAGGATAGGCCCTACTTGGTATTTTCTAATCTTTTCTAATGCTTACTTAATCATCACTGAGATTGACATAAGAAACTGAGTAGGTTGTTTCCCCATGAGATTGACACAAGAAACTGATTAGGTTGTTTCGCCAGTCATTTCACTCGTTTTCATGCACAGCTCATAGGACAGTAGCTGTCCAGTTTGAATTCTTTGTTTGCCATGTTTGACTATGATGATCATTATCACATCATGCCTTTTAAAAATCGCATCTAAGTAAAACAATGGACCTCATTTACCAATCGTAAATAAACAACATTTAGCCACGTGAAACAACGAAAAAAAAAACTGTCACGTGACAGCCTGTGTGTATTACGTAATTTGTCTAGAAGAGATAGAGAACCACGTGTCTAAATGTTGTTTGTTTACGATTGGTGAATGAGGTCCATCAAGTGATGAGGGGGAATAAAGGCCTTGAATTGTAACCTAAGTACAACAAAGATGTTTTCTTTTAAGTAGTCAAAAATAAAAAATAATAATATATATTAAGATTTTTTGTTTTCAGCAGGGACAATGTAAAAATGTTAAAGCAGGGGCTGTAATTACTTCCTCTCTGAAAACCCAGTCTATTATGTTACCGTCAGCTGTATCATCTAATCCCTGGTCACTTCCCTGTTCTTTGGGAGTATGTAAAAAAGGGTAGAGAACTCTTAGCTTATACATGCACAGACAAGGCAGCCCGGATTGCACTGCCATCAAGTTTCGTCTGGGAATCTCACATTCTCCGCCGTCGTCATCTATATGAGGGCACTCGAGTCTTGTGCCATCGTCCGAAGCAGTTCTTCTGCAGACGCAATATGGCCGATTCTCAAAGCTGCGGGGTTTATGGGGCAGGTAAGGGTCACAGTTTGCCATCACATAATTGCAAGAGCGAAATTTGTTACAAGCTAAGCCTCGTGATATTGGCACTCCTGGATAGTTCCTGCGAAAGAGATTTTAGAGATTAATAGTTAACATATTTTTTTAAATTGTAAACGCTCCATCTAAACTTGTTCATAGACACGTGTTACAAAACCTATGAATTTCATGGCACATGTAATCAAATGTGTATTCTTTTTAGTAGTTTTTTTTTTAATTGAGCTTTAGTAGCACATTATTATCAATGACCTACAGTCTATACATCCATTTTCGAAATTTTCATACCCTCCCTTCACATTCACATGCTAATTTTTTTGCACCCAAGTGACATCATTTCCGACATGTACAAGAGAATGTCAAGATACATAGCAGTCTAATCGACTTACTCACAGAGATGTTCCGGACAGTGTCCATAATCAGTGCGAGCCACTGTTCTGCCTCCACAGGCCAGTGTTTCATCTGTTCAAAAAAACAAGTAATGAATTGAAGTCTTAAAGTGATCAAGTACGTTTGAAATGATACACTTAGATAAAGTCATTAGATGCCGAGACAAATATTTTATGGTTACTTTAAATGGCCAGATAGATGGACAACGTATTCACTAACCCATTTGATTCCACGAAAACATATCGACTTGACTAAGCCTTTGACAGCTACCATTAACAATTTTTGACATAAATCTACTTAGTATGAATGGTGCTCCAATATAGCTGCTCTCAAGTTCGACCAAAGAACCACTGACTCTCCTACTGATCTTTGAGCTCTGCGATATATTCAATGAAAACATCTTCACATAGTTGAATCTAAACAATAAATGTGTTATTCTAGTACGAAAAAATAATTTATAAGACAAAAATACAATTCTGGCAGAAGTAATTGTCAATCTATCATCCATCCCAGTGGCACTAGCCTGGCCTGCTCAAGCACATCTTTCCATTCTGATCTATCTTGGGCTTTACGTCTCCATGCCCGGACTCTAGCTGTTGTAGATCTGCCTCCACATCATCAAGCCACCGTAATCCATGGTCTGCCTTTGGGACGCCTGCCTTTTGGTTTTTGTTGGTGAACAATCTTGGCTCCTCTGTTCTCTGACATTCTTTTGAGGTGACCTACCCCCCAACATAATTTGTTCCTTTTTATTTCCGGTACTATAGAGGGGTTCTTCATATAGCTTGCATATTTCTAGGTTGGTACGAGTCCTTCATCTGGTTTCCTCATATATATTGCACTATAAATTTTTCTGAGGATTTTCCCTTCCTAATTATATTAGCGGATTTTCTGTTGTTTTTGTTATTTGTAAATCTAGTTCTACAAAAATACAATTCTAACATTAGTAGGCTATTTGTCTATCTAGTACAAAAATAAAGTATATAATAAAATAAATAAAATTCTAACATTAGTAGGCTTGTAAATGAAGATAGTGTGTTTCTGTAGAAGCATTTTTACAGAAGTTGGCTCAAGTCTGTTTACACTGTTCTATTGCATGTAACATGAAGATATTCAAAAAGATCTCGATACAAATCAGGAAATTTATCTCACAAGAACTTTAATTATAATTAAGGTCAAAAACCATAATCATACATTCAATTTTAGTCAGGCATTTCTAGTTAGGTGAAATAAACGAACGACATAAAATTAAGAAACTTATTTGTACGTCTAATTTTAACACACTAAAATACATAACACAAATTGATCTCTCGTATTAAACAAACAGTGTCACTGATAGTTAATTGTTTATGTTTTTAATTCCTACCTTCATTATGTCAGAAACTTTGGCGAAACTTCCAGAAAACTGTCTCTGAAATCTGGAGGCAGCACAATATAGTATGATATTTTCTTCTATATCAGTGCCGTAGTCATTCTTTGATTTAGAAACAATCAATACAGTTTCTATTTCCTAATAATAATAATACAATTATAATAACAGTGCCAGAGTAAGACGGCAATAAGTATTTAATAGTTTGAGTTAAATTTATTTATCTTTCTTTATATAGGTAGGATAGGTATTAACAAAATGAAAGTGCTCTTTTATTTTCTCTTTATTATTTATTACTAGTCGACCCGCGGCGTAGCATACACCACTTCGTAATGGTCATGATCCAAAGGACCGCTAAATAGCAGAGATAAGGAGAGACGTTGACTCGGAGTGTAAACTCGAGGAGGGTCATGCCGACACCTTCGATATAGGGGTCACGGTTATGCGGACGTTCTCGGAAGTGAATAGTGATAGCGGGAAGTATTCGAGACATCGCCACAATTTCAGCCTCGCCACCATAAAGTATTCATGTAGGCAGCGTATTGTCGAGCAGAGTGTATGACTGTGCTTCTGTGAGTAAGAACAACGGACAGGGCGTCGACATTGTTTTCCCAATGTTCGCAAACAAAAGCTTACAGCCATCTTGCGAAGTTTGAGAGCAACAGTTTTGTCGATGACATTTTTCCAGAAATATGCGACTGATAGAAATAAACAGTTAC